ACATCAGAAAAGACTCTGCGGTCCAGGAAGGCTGGACGATTCACCGTTGCCTAAACATATCCCAACTGTGCCTTACTCTGTGATTTTATTCATAACTTACCCTACTTCTGGAATGTCCACTCTACCCTGCATCTGTTGAAATGCTGCCCATCTACTGTTTAAATGCCCCTTTCCCGCCTCTGTTAAGTTTTTTCCGATTCTGCTGGCCAGAAATGTTCTTTCCTTCAAAAACCTTAAGTAATACTTTGCCACTTCCTAGACTCCCAGCTCTCCCCTTAGCTTTTTGCACTCCCTCGCCAAACATAGTTAGATGTGTCCTAACTGTTTTAACTGCAAGTCCTAGATATGCTCTGACAATACTTTAAGGGAAGGAGAATGACCAAAGTCATAAGAAAAAGCCTGAAACAGGTTCAGGGAGGTTGGAGATGAAACAGTAGTCCTAAAATGTGAATCCTGGCACTTGAAAAATGGGGGGAAAATCATAGCTTTGCTATGTATCCCCTGCCCCCTCAGCCTTGTATTAGAGGAAATCAAATGAAGGCTGGAAAGAGGATGGGAAGATGAAAAAAGGGGACCAACGTGTTGTGATGAGTTGTAGGGGCCAGGGTTTAAAAAGGACATTCCTAAGCTAAGGAAGATCCTAGGAAGGCAACCAAGATGCTGAAGGTCATCTCTTAAGTATTTTTTATTTTTTCAATATGGAAATTTGCATATGTGACAATCTTTAACCTTCTAAGAGGCAGTGTGGCATAATGGATAAAGTAAGGATGATATTTTTCAAGTCCTGCCTCTGAAACCGAAATTGATTGGTGACCGTGGGTTAAGACCTGTCAGTGCTCCCAAACATAGTCTCTCTAAGACTCTACAAGTTAGAGATGTGTTACTAATGTGCATTGGAGACTTCCCCACATCGACAAAATCACAAAATGTGACAAAAAACAGAAGCTCATTGAGAGCAGGGACTATGGCTTATTTGCCTTTGTGTTCTTCCCAGCAACTAGTGTTTCATTAGATTGTAAGCTCCTTGAAGGCAGGGGCTGTTTTTTGCCTCTTTTTGTATCCCCTGGGCACAGTACTTGACACATAGTAGGTACTTTGCTGTTCAGCTGTTTTTTTCTTTCAGTCATGTTTGACTTTTGTGACCCCTCTTTGGGATTTTCTTGACAAAGATACTGGAGTGGTTTGCCATTTCCTTCTCCGGCTCATTTTCCAGATGAAGAAGCTGAGGCAAATAGGCTTAAGGGCCTTGCCCAGGGTCACATAGCTAGTAAATGTCTGAGGTCTATTTTGAACTTAGGTCTTTCTAATCCAGGCCAGGCACTTGATCCACTATGCCACCTAGCTGCCCTAATAAGCACTAAGTAGGTATTTAGTAAATGTTTATTGATTGATTGATAGTATATTAGAGCGCACTTGATATTTCATTGAAATAACTGAACACTTAGGAATATGATGTATCTGAAGAGCCAGAGAGAAACAGAAGGACTCTTTAGCCAAGATATATCTTGTTCCAGAGCCAGAGGGCCGGGAGATAGGTGGGGAGCTGCAGGTAAGAGGCGGGGCAGCACCTCTGTACCCAGCACCCTCTCCTAAGATGGAGAACACAAGGTTCCATTGGGGGACTTCATCTACCAGAGCAGCAGACCTAGACCTTGACCTTCCATCCTAACGAAGGTCTCTCACGAACCCCAGGAGAGAACTGTTCAGTACAACAGATGGACCAATAGCCAGCACGAAATCAGCATGAACATGTCGGCCTCCGAGAGTGTGGACTGTGAGTGGATCCCAAACTATGCATTGGGAAGTTGGGCATCGCCATGATGGTGGCAGGTAGAATTATTCTATTTTGGGTCATCTTCATTATTGGCTACATCATAAAAGGCTACTATATCCACAAGTGCAAGTAGCCCTTGTCTGAGACTGCTAGACACCTCTTTGAGGAGCCCTCCATTTACCCAGAGACCTCTTACTTTCTGGCTCAGACCACCAGGGCAGGCTGGCCCCTGGGGGCACATATACCTATAGATATAGACACACACACACAGGGACAGATATGGACATAAACTGAGTCTCTTTTCAGAGAAAGAGAGAGACGCATACCTAGAGTGACAGACACACACAGATAGACACATACGCTGAAACAGACACTAAACAGAAGTATAGATAGAAGCACATGGAGACACAGACAGACACACAGAGAAAGACACATAGACACACACACACACACACACACACACAAGTCTCTCTCTTCTCCCCTGTCCCAGGATAGAACTCCAGACCAAGTCATCCACATCCCACTCTTCCACTGCCACATTCCATCCCCAAGAAGAGTTGCTACAGTAGGTTACTGCATCCCAGGACTGTATCTCTCACTCATCCCCTCCTTGGCCACCTCTGTGTTCCTCCTCACTGACCAGACGACCTCTCCTTTGGACCTATGGTTGCCGTTGACAGCCAGACATCCAAGAAAGATGAGAGAGACCAGGGCACTGTTTCATCCCTCAGAAACCTTTCTGCAGTGCTGGTTTATGTTCAGAACTGGAGTCAGACCCAGGTTTCCTATGCAGGCTCTACCTGCCCTGTCCCATTCTTTGTAAGAGCAAGACCTAGACAGGAGGGAACTATTCAGTTAAGGAATGCCACACAGGGAACTCATCACCAAACTGTGACTCAGAATGAGAATTAAGGCCACTTCTAGGGTTCAATTTCTGCCCATCCCTGTTCTAACCACAGGTGGTAGGAGTAAAATCTGCCTCACATTTGCTATGACCTCTCCCCCCCATCCCTGCCCTGCCTCTCACCACCAACTCTCCTGCTTGAGAAACTAGACACAATATGAGCCTGATTTCAACATAAATTTGTTAAAGGCAGTGGCCCACTTATCTACAGGGAAAAAAAATTTAAAGGAAGGCAGCATCGTGTATGGAGAAGAGGTATTTGATTCAAATCCGGACTCTCCCATTTATGTGTGAACATGGGAAAGTTGGTAAAGTCCTTTATCTCTGGGCCTCAGTTTCCTCAGCTGTAAGATGAGACTATATACCTTTGAAGGTCCCTTCCATCTCTAAATACGTGCTTCTGTGGCAATGATTCAACACGGAATCCCAGCAAAGTCAAAAATTTCCATGATCCCTGGGAGTTAGCAGGGAAATTCATAGCCTTACCCCTTAACTGCTGCTGTTGAAGCCTCACAGGCCCCCAGCTGTGTTATGGCCCCCTTGTGTGTCTGTATTGTGGGGGGTCTCAGACTTTCAGCTCTGGAGCCATTGTAAGAGGTATCTCCTCTAAAGTTATTCCTTTGCCCTCTCCCCTGGATTTGCCCTCAATTTCTGCACTAAGTGCCGGGGAATTCCATCCCCTGGCCTACCATGAAGGAAGAAAATGCCAGAGAATCTGAATTGGGGGCCTGATATTTCTAACGGCCCCTAGTCACAGGTGCCAGCCACAGACAGTCTGGGAGCCAGGAGAAAGTAGCCAACATCCTGAGGACCCTTCCCTTCTGATCCATGACCTTATCCAAGAGGCAGAGGCTGAGCCAGGGAGGACTGGGGAATTCTGGGGGTTGAGCCCCAGCCTCCAGACCCCGCCCCCTTCTCATGCCTTTCCAGAGAGGCAGAATAATATAATGGAAAAGAAGGGAAAAAAAGCCCTCAACTGGAAGGATTTTAATAAAAAGTCACTTGTGTGACCTCAAGCACAGTTTCCTCTCTGAGTCTTAGTTTACTCCTCCTCAAAAGGATAAGACAGTTTCTAGGGCAGAATCCTAACTACTGATCCTGGCACAGGTGGCTATGAAAGGGTTAACGTGGGGGCAAAGTTGGCTCACTTGGAACACGGTGCGTTTGGATGTTCTACAAGTCTACCACAGGCCTGACCTGTAACGCCAGAGTTGTTTCCTTCCCCCTCTCTTTATCCTCAGTGGTCCCTCATTAGACTTGGGGTTACCAGAAATAGTTAACATGAAGAGCTTTAATGGGAATCTGACAACCTGGGCTGCAACCCAGGCTCTGTCACTAACTTAACCTTGGACACATCTCAAATAAACAAAAAAAACAAAAACAGAAAAAAGAAATTTGATATATCTGTTGGGCACTTATACAGTACAGGCCTCTCTGCCCCATCCCTGCATTCACCCTGAGTCCTTTATCTCCCTTTCTCCCCTTATCTGGCCCCGCTTTTCAAATTGCTTCGGATCTGAGAAAAGAAAAGTGCAGTCAAACTTTGCATCTGAACTCTCAGTCAGTGTCAGAATCTGACCACCAGAGGGCAGGGTTGATCTTTTTATAAATCCACCGTCTTTCTAAAGTCCTCTGGAGCACCTCCAAGCCCCACAAAGCCCTCTCACTCCCCAGATCTTGTCAATGAAGAAATGGTGCCAGGATCTCTGAGGAATAGAACAAAATCCCGTTAAGAAGAACATGAATCACCTCGACAATTGAGGTTTGGCACGGCCAAACTCCTGCAAAACAACCAGCAAATACGATTCCCTAAAGCCCTTCCTCCAGTCAGGGTAGTGTTTTCCTTGCACTGCCCCTCCCGACCTGGCAGAGGAGGGGCCCCTTGGGTTAGAGTTGGGTTTTTTTTTTTTTAAAGGAAGAATTGACAGCTGGGGGAGAGGGTGAAAGAAAGAGAGGAAGGAGCCCAAAGGAAAGAGGAGAGCTGATCAGGGTAACTTTCCAAAGGAGATGTATTACAGAACACTGCCCTGAAAAAAGGGACTCCAGGAAAGAGGGAAAAAAGCCCAGTACCACGTAGAATGAGAGGATTTGCAAAGTATTTTCAAATGGGATCTGCTTTTCCTGTGCCTGTTTAAAACATTAAAATTGTGCTGAATATGAGGCTGAGTTTGCTAGTCCCTCCCTCCCCCCATCCCCAGCCAAAGACGTCATGGGAGGGAGGTATAAAATTTCAGCAGAGAGAAATAGAGAAAGCAGTGTGTGTGTATGTGTGTGTGTGAGAGAGAGAGGGAGAGGGAGAGGAAGAGGGAGAGAGGAGGGGAGAGGAGAGAGGAAAAGAGAGAGAGAGAGAGAGAAAGGAGAGATCACAGGCAAGAGGGACGTAGAAGCGAGCAAAAAGCAAGAGGTAGGGGAAGAAAATGAGAAAGAACGAATAACATTCAAGAAGCAGGAGTACAGTGAACTGACTTGTTTTATTTTATTTTTATGTTTTTTTCTTTTTCTTTTTCTTTTCCTTTTCTTTTTTTTTAAAGTGAAGCAGTGAAAAGAAGCAATGACCAAGGGAGAAGAGAAGCTAAGGTCCTGGTGACCCCGGGCGTCCAAGTGGATTATTGGGGCAAAACTGGAGGGGAGGCAGCAACCAGGTGCCTAGTCCTTCTCATTACACGTAATTCCAAATCAGCAGCCAATGAAGACGAGAGGCAGCGGGTGACAAAAATAATTTCAAAAGCCCTCGAGGAAATGTAAACCAAGGGGAAAGTATGAATGGTGTGTCTGAAAGACAAGTGTGCCCAGCGCTTCCCTCTGTCCCTAGCTGGGGACGGTGGCCCGGCCCAGCCCAGCCCTGCCACCGGCCACCTACTTACTGCTGATCTGATTTTTTTTCTTCTCTTCTTTCTTATTTTGGGCTATCCAAGGATACTGAATTTGGAAACTAAACATTGTTCTCTTAGCCTCTCTTCAAAAAACACCAACTTTTGTCCCTCGTTGTCAAAGTAATATTTTGTGATCTTAGATATCAGTTCTATTTATTATTACTTTTTTCTACCTAAGGAAAACGCCAACATTCTCCCCACTTTCCCCTCCAAGCCTCCCCCACCCCACCCCAAACCTTCCTTACTTCCCTTGCTACCCCTACTTGGTGCTCTTCACCTGGTTTGCCTGGAATCACAGCTCAGCGGAACCTGTTTAGACACATGGAGAAGGATCCCAACTTTGCAAGGCACAGAGCCTGCTTCTTCTTCCTAAGCTTTGCCAACGCTTCCTGGAAGTCCTGAATCTCTTGCAGTGCAGTGAGTTCATGCACCTTCTTGCCAAGCCTCAGTCTTCGGGATCTGGGAAGGCTGCGTCGAAAGCTCTGCCTGCTTTTCCTAACTCCTTTTGCATAGCTCCTGGTCTCCTTTGCCAGGCCCAGCTGCTCCCCTGGTCCCCTTTCCCCTGTTTCGCACATGAAGATGCACTTGCAAAGGGCTCTGGTGGTCCTTTCACTGCTGAACTTTGCCACAGTCAGTCTCTCTCTCTCCACTTGTACCACCTTGGACTTTGGGCACATCAAGAAAAAGCGAGTGGAAGCCATTAGGGGACAGATCTTAAGCAAGCTGCGGCTCACCAGCCCCCCTGAGGCATCGACGTTGGCCCATGTGCCCTACCACATCCTAGCCCTATATAACAGCACCCGGGAGATGCTGGAGGAGATGCAGGAGGAGAAAGAGGAAAGCTGCACTCAGGAAAACACTGAGTCGGAATACTATGCCAAAGAAATCCATAAGTTCGACATGATCCAGGGTCTTGCAGAGCACAGTAAGTCCCAGCTCTCGGTTGAGCGTCACCTTGGGAGGGTCCCAACTTGAGCAAAGAGACTTGGAGAGACAGTCCAGGGCTCAACTAAAGAGCCAGCTACCCCTAGGTTTTCTGAGCACCCAAGGCTCAGCAGGGACTGGGAGGGCACCAGGACAATTCTGGGCTGTGTTGATTGCTTCTCCTTGAAACCCAGCAACCTCGTGCCAAGGATACAACCCCATCCAGTTAAAATCCTTGACAGTTGTTCATTTGGGGGGGCATTGCACTGCCTGTGGAACATGTATACTCACATCTATAGGGTGATATGGGTAACCGCAAGCATATGTGTCCTATGAAAAAAAAAAAAAAAAAGGCAGAATGGGCCAGAGGAGAAAGCGTAGTTCCATGAGTCTGAGACCTGGATCTTTTCCCTGGTTTTCTAGAGCTGCTTGTGACACGTCTCTCTTTTAGTTTTTCCAATCATTCTTTGGGGGAAATGATATTTTTTATGGAATAAGGTTGGTAACAACCCTTTTCAAAGATGATAGCTTTCCCCAACACGCTGCAATAAGCAGGTCCCATGTGCTGGATTTATGTGGGTGTGTACATGTATGTCCAACTGTGCTTCCTACATAGCTCCCACCCAACTCCCCACTCCCTCCCAGGGAGTCTCCGACTTCAAATGTTCACAGATCTGAGGGTGCTGTCTGTGGAGCACACACCCACTCTAAAGAGATGAGAGGAGGATTGATGGGTGCGAAATGGGTGTCTGTTGGAGGAAAGCAGGCCTGTTTTTCATTATTTATGTCGATGAGATGCTTTGGTCTTTTCATGTATATAATGGTACGGCAGACCTCGATGTGGGTGGGATGTGTGTGTGTGTGTGTGTGTGTGTGTGTGTGTGTGTGTGTGTCTTTTTATTGCCAGTGTGCTAGAAACCAGGGGTCATCTGTATTTTTGATGCCTTTGTGTGTGTGTGTGTGTGTGTGTGTGTGTGTGT